AGAATTCCCCAGCCAGCGAATGCTGGCTGGGGAATTCTGGGAGTTGAAGTCCGGACATCTTCAAGTTGCCAAGGTTGAGAAACACTGCTCTAGATGGACTTGGAGGTTCTTTCATTGTGGTTTCTCTGCTGCTTTCCCTTCGAAAGCTGAGATTATCTGAATAATTTGAAACCTCTGCTGTTTGTCCGATCTCTTCTTTTGTTCTGTTCTTTTCATACTTTTTTGGCTTTTGATCACTTGAAATATCCAGTTATTTATGGATCCATAAGAATGACTGGCTTAGTTTCTGGATCTCATTCCTAACTCAGGGAAGAGCATAGTGATATCTACATCAAGGTTAGACAATTGGAACCTTATAATACAGTGTTTCTCAACCTTGGCGACTTTAAGTCCTGTGGACTTCAACTCCCAGAATCCCCCAGTCAGGGATTCTGGGAGTTGAAGTCCACAGGACTTAAAGTCGCCAAGGTTGAGAAACACTGTTATAATACCTGGATTTGATTCCCGCATATTCCTTCACCTTCCTACCCAGAGTTTGGGATGAAACCCAGGAATTATAATTTTTTATCTCTGTTGCTCTTTGTCCTGTCTCCCAGGTTTTTATTAAGAGCTCCTAAACTACCTTTTGGAATCCTCATTATCTATATTTGCTACATGGACCAAAAACTTTTAAAGTCTTTCCCAGAAGAAGCACATTGTCGCTCACTCTCTCCTTCCCTCTCACACATGTGAACAAACTACACCAGTGCCTTCCGCAGAAGGATGAGGAGGGAGGATGGCTTAAGGGAAATCAAATACACAGGTGGTTTTGTGCATTTTTCCTAAGAAAATTAGCCTATTTTCATTGTTGTATGTTTTTCCTCTCTTTTCCCCCCTCCCTCCCATGCTTCCCCAGAAAACGATGCAAGCTAAACTTGAATTCTAAATGATATATTCTTGTCAGAAATATTTTCCTGGGCAGAACCCTTGACTCTCTGTAAGGTAGGATGAAGGATTTCTGGCAAGATAGATGGAATATGCCTGAAGAGTACTCTGATTTAATAGGAAAAAGGATGAAGTTACATTCCAGAATGCTCCAGATTGCCTTTTTAATTTTCAGGAACATACAGAAACACTGTGCCATTTAAATACAAGAACGTCCTGACTCTTATGATCCAACCCAGCCCTTTAAACTGACGTGTTCAATAACAATAGGAAGCAAAAACTAAAGCTGCTCCTCTTTGGAATCGAAATACACCTCCAACGTTTTCTCTAGATCAGAATTCCGTCTTGTTCCAAAGTCTACGATGGATAGCTGAGCCTTGATTTTTGTCTTGAGGAAATTGTAATAAACTTTATTTATAATCCAATTATTAAAATGAAATGTCTGGGCCCATTTTTTTTTCCATGGATACCAAAGCCTTTTTTTTTGTATTGGCTTATATGGAATATAAGCCATATTTGTCCGATGTCAGAATGAAATCAGCAATGTGATGGTACCTGTGTCCCATGAATTAACGTTTTTGAAAAGATCAAATTCCCAGCCGCGTTGCTAAAACGAAAGCAGAAGATTCTGTGTAATATTTTAAAATTATAACGTGAGATAGTGTTGAGATAGTGCTATTACTGCCTTGTGGTCCTTTTTCTTGCCTTTGCCTTGATATGATAGTTTATCTCTTCCTTACTAGGCGGCTAGTGATTATCTTTTCTTTGTCGTTGGCAAAGCCTGCAGTTCTAAAAACATATTCAGTTGTTAACTGTAAACTGTTAGCCAGAATGACCTGTATTTGGAGAAGTATGGCGTGACTGTCCTTCAGCATTATTTCCAGAGCTGTCATATCAGGGGAGAGGGGCCCAGTTTGGCTTTATTTCTGGCATAGAATGACTGAAGAAAAGTCATTGGGGTAATTGACTAGCAAACTTTCCAAGTCAAGCGATTGCTGAAGATTTTATGGAATTCATCCACATGATTTTCTTCTAACCGTATAGCAATAGCCCTTATATGCTGCTTCCCAGTGCTTTACGGCCCTCTCTAAGCAGTTCCCGGAGTCAGCATCTCTTTCCCCCAACAATCTGTGTCCTCATTTTCCCCGCCTTGGGAAAATAGATAGCTAAGTCAATATGGGAATGGTGAGTCATTGCCATCTTTTGGGATAGTTTTCAACTTATTAGTTGGGCCTCCCATCCATGCACTGCCCAGGTGTGATCCTTTGTAGATTTTCAAAATCAACAAAAGCCAATTGATGGGGGTGGGGGGGAGCTTATGGAAAGTGCAGCTAGCTGTCCTTGCTCAGGCTAAGCTGATCGAGAGTGGAGCTCTAAGAATGCCAGATGATCAATGGGCATGTTCTCAGTTTCAAAACATCTGGCTTTCCTTCCTCCTTCCAAAGACCTGGGCTCTTCACAGGAAGGGAGGGAGGGAGGGAAGGGAAAGTGAATATGGATGGATAGAGGGAGGGAGGAAGAGAGAGAAAAAGGAGAGGAAGGACCGCAAACCTGGTACCAGACGTAGCTTCAGAGGATGCTTTGAAACAGCACAGCAATCCAGTGCTAGAAGGCACCTCAGAGGTCATCTAGTCCAACCCCCTGCTTCAGCAGGAGATCTTATATCATCTTGATTATTTTGGTGCTCTAACACAGAGGAGAAATTCCCAGAAACCCCTAGGCATTGCCAATCTCTCCCCACTAGTAAAAAAAAAAACTTAGAGCAAAAACTTTATACAGTATTAAAAAGAATAGAAAAGGGCTGCTGTGTATTGTTTAATGGACAGCTAAACTGGTAAAATGGACAGCTAAATTGGCCACTCCCACCCAGTCACATGACAGCCAAGCCACTCCCACACAGTCACATGACTGTTGAGCCATGCCCACAAAATATGCCACACCCACAGAACCGGTAGTAAAAAAAAATTGAAACCCACCACTGGAATGCACTCAGTTGTGGGGGAGCAGCTTGAGTGACATAGAAATTTGCTTGGAATTTTATCCCAGTAATGAGATTCCTATGAGATCTTTATAGCAGCAGCAGAGAATAGTAACCTATGTTCATCTAACTTATCAAAGTAGCAATAGAAAGGAAGAAGGGTTCTGTTGAAGCATCTTAGAACACAAGGATTATTTCACCTCCTTGCCTGTGTAAAGCCACTAAAAACACCACCGGTTATTTATTTAGGTAAGATAAATGGATCTGCTAAAGTGCGGACTGTGTGAAGAGACCCTCTCCTCTCACTTGTACTGTATCAAGGCCCAAGGTGGGAAAAGGAATCATGTTCTGTTTCCTGAACACGTTATTGGCATGAGAAAAGCAAAGTTGGTTCTCTTGGAAGTAGTACACATGTTAAGTGTTCAATAGTAAAACAGCCTAGCTTTATCCACATGGCGTGCCAGCAAGTTTTCTATCAGAAGCATTGGGTGCATTGGAAGACATTGGAATATTAGCAGGTGCAGACTAAACTTTGCAATATTTGTAGAGCCTGTGTTCTTCTGGCTAGCAACAAATTGAAGGCAAAAGTGTTTGGAAATGGTATTCTGGCATTAGTGTTCTGTGGTCTGCAAAGAAACACTTCGCCTAAGCAGTATGTTTCAACCCTTGATTATGCAATGCCTCCAAACATTCAGACTTCTACCCCAACTAGTGTGCTATAAATATGTTTTTTTCATTTAGGAGGAATATGGGTTTCTTTCTGCCCTTAGGCCCATCAACAAACCTGATGTTGCCAGATGAGTCAATTCATTTGAGCATGCTGTAAGTTTTGATAGCGTATTTTGAAAAAATGCTGAATAGTAATTGAGTAATCATTAAAAGACAGCAAATAAACATTGAGTCATTAAAATGAATCCCCTTAAGTACTGTTACAAGTGTTTTAAAATGATTCTGGTAAAAGGTATTTTAGTTAATGTAAACCCAATGAAGCCCAATAGACGATAAAATTGCATTTTGCAAATTAAAAACTTAAAAGGTAACAGGGAAAAGGTGTTGAAAGATAAATGCAGAGAACAGACTTATCTCCCATCACTCCAGACCTTTCCTATAACTCCAGACCTGTTTTCTGATCTGTTTAAAAACGGAACAGAAAGTACTAAACTGATTCTCAACTTCAGGAGCGACCGGTATACCGTTTCATTCATTTAAAAGATTGTTTGAAAATTAAGACCAGAGGTTGCACAGAAAAAAAAAACAGAATATTTTAATGACAAAGATTTATAGGAAAATATGGAAATCCATATTTCATGCCGAAGTATTGGTCAGCCTTGCCTGAACATGCCAAGAACTGAACGTGGCATCTTGGCCATGTGAACATTAGCACAGAACTTGTGATTAAGACTGTTATCAGAACACAGAATCACAAGGCTGGAAGGGGCCTTAGAGTTCAACTCCAGCTCAGGGCAGGAGTCCTTATGTCATTTTGAAAACCTCCAACAATGGAGCTCTCCCACAACTCCAGGAAGAAAGCAATTCCATTGGTTAATCGGTCTCACTTCGGGGAAAAGGGCGGCATATAAATGTAATAAATCCAATCCTCACCATCAGGAATGTTTTCCCTTAGTATCAGGTAGGATCACTCTTATTGACATGATGCACACTGGACTTTCTACGCACAAGACTCTGCCTTATGTGATTGTACATATATGTTAGATCAGTGTTTCTCAACCTTGACAACTTGAAGTCCTGTGGACTTCAACTCCCAGAATCCCCCAGCCAGCAAGTTGTCAAGGTTGAGAAACACGGTGTTACATTGTTTTGATTAAGAAGGATGGAAAAATAGCATTCTGCAAAGGAAACCACCAGTTTCCAGCAAAATACGTTTAGGTTTTCAAACAATCTTTCTAAGCCCTTGTCTAGCAATAGCAATAGCAGTTAGACTTATATACCGCTTCATAGGGCTTTCAGCCCTCTCTAAGCGGTTTACAGAGTCAGCATATCGCCCCCAACAACAATCCGGGTCCTCATTTTACCCACCTCGGAAGGATGGAAGGCTGAGTCGACCTTGAGCCGGTGAGATTTGAACAGCCGAACTGCAGATAGCAGTCAGCTGAAATGGCCTGCAGTGCTGCACCCTAACCACTGCGCCACCTCAGCTTCTGCTGCCATGCATGTGATTCTGTAACATGCAGCTGTCCAGTGAAGACACAAAGGTTAGTCATGAATAGCTAACAGAGATTAGTATTTCTTTGTATTCAGGAAGACTAAGGACAGTTGAAAAACAGTGACGGAAAGGATGAAAGTGACAAAGAAAAATATGTTCTGGAGGAAGCCAGCTTTGGAGATTCTCTGCAGAGTGAATACAAGTCTCAGCTTTGCAAAAACAGTGACATCCTAGGAGCAGGGAAAGCTAGGAGAGAGCGCTGTTGCAAAAAAAATGAAAGTTGTACGGGTGGGGCAAATGATCAAGGCCCAAGATGAGGCGTTTGTTTTGGCCATGAAAGGGAATTTGGAAGCACTTGAGTCCAGAAGGGAAGGGCAGAGGAGAACTGGCAGTTATGAGAGGAAAGCAAGACATGAAATAGGCAAAGAAAAAAAAAAGGATTAAGAAGTAGCCGCCCCTCTACAAAAAAGGCAAGAGGATAAATCAGCAGGAAGTTTGAATTATCTTGCTGATTTCACTCCTTTGAATCTCAAGTAGTTGAGATGAATCCTGACCAAAGGCAGGGCTGGAAATGTTAGATTTCAGGGCTTTGTTTCTCTTGAAAGTGTTGCCAGCAGAGGGTGGAACTGGTTGTCAGACGTCCAACTAGTGAATCCAAAAAAAGGAACTCAGGGGGGCATCCTTTCTCCCAAAAAGTGAAACTTTATTGAATACACCACATTGGCACAGAAGAAGCAAAACCAGTTCTGAGTTTCCCACGCAAAAGCCCACATAGTTAGACTTGATTTTCCCCTTCTTGGCCAACCCCTCAGTTCACTGCGTTGTCCAATTGAATGTGCTCCTTTTGTTATGAGAATGCCCTGCCTCATTCGAAGACCTGCAAGGGGTGACCTTGGGGGAGGCAGCTTGGTGTCAAGATCTGCGGACGGAGTCTTGGTATTCCATTCCCGCCCCAGACATTCCAACCCTCCTGTCCCGATTGTGCTCAAGCTGAGAGCAAAGAAATAATTAGGTGGAAGAGCAAATCACTCTTGGCCTGCCAACCCCACCCCAAAAGAAGGATACATCTGGAATAAATATACATACATGTGAACAATTCTTCTTCTTATAACAACATGGATCTTACTTTGGTCATTTAGGGTTTCTGGAATGAAATCTCTTTACTAAATTAACTGCTTTAACATACCCTTACCCACTCTGCATCCATTACAGCAGTGGTTCCCAAACTTGGCAACTTTAAGACTTGTGGACTTCAACTCCCAGAATTCTCCAGCCAGCTCTGCAGAGTTTCA